AGCTAGGAAGACAGGAAGTAGAACAAAAACGTATTTGACGAACCACCAGAAGGTCGTGAAGGTGAAACAAGGTGGCCAGATCTTTCGGTACGTACTAATAAAAATGTCGCCATGTTTGTGTATACTTCGAAGCATCAACAGAAAAGGAAGTCATTCTAGGTGAAAACTGTTCCAAACCGCAATGATAATCAGAATGTGACGGCCAAAACACGTCCTCGTAAGTTGCATCGCGAATATTTGACGAAATAGAATATTTGACGAAATGAAGCGAATGGAGTCCATGCCATCGAAGGAGGCAAATCTATCTAACTGCCCGAAATTACGTTCTATCGAGCGATATTAGGCTCTCTTGAAGAGAGAGCACTCCCAGTGCAAACAACAAACAAATTTCGAAAATCTTGAACAAAAGCAGCAAAATCGGTTGTAGAAATGTCTGTACTAACTCCCACGGCTGAAGTAAACTCAACAATTCGTCAGTATTTGATGCAGCCTAATTTAGTAATGATACGTTTTTTAGGATTAACGATGCATGAATAAATAGATAAATAAATAAATAAATAAATAAATAAAATATCCTGGATTAAATTGACAGCAAATTTGTTTTATTCCAAAACTTTTGTTCCAAAATTTTTAACGCTATCAGACCTTATTACTGTGCGCCCATATGATCAAAATTGAACTGTAAACATCTAGCAGGGTGGATTGAATGCGTGTTATATTAAATCAACCCTCACATGTGGAATTTAAACATTAAAAATTCTTTTAAAAAATGTTTAAAAATAGGCGCCCAGATACAAACAGATGCTTGAAATGTAATCACTGAATTAAGAAAAATAAAAAACGTATATTGCCTAGCATGCTGAAATTACAGAAGACAACTTAATGCAATGATTTTGAAATATGTTTACCATGTGAATGTATTTTAAAATCATTGTTTTTTAATGGCTTTTTTTACGTCGAACTTCAGAACAAATCAACTTATTTCAGGAAAATCAGAGGAATTTTATAGAAATTCTGAGAAATTAAGGGGAGTCCAAAACAAAAAACAGGGAAGTAGGAGCTTACCAGAGCAATTTTTAAAGGATGTCCCAAAAATTTTAGAGAATATCCGAAACATTAAGAGACATTTTAAAAACTTCAGGTAGGCTCGAAGAACAACATAAAATTGCAGAACTGTAGTTTTTGGGAGAGGATATTAAACGTTCTTGTTAAATTAAACAAATTCAGGATAGAACCATGAGCTTCAGAAAAGTTTTTAAAAACTATAAGAAGCTCCGAGAATTTCAGGAAAGTTCACAGAACTACAGCTTCATGATTTCTAGGGGTGTTTCGAGTATTTCGAGCAGCTCCGTTCATTAATTGCAGGAACATTCAAGAAGTGCCGAGGAATTATTAAATATTCTGAGAATTTCATAAATGTTCCTTAAAAATATGGGAAACTGCGGGGTATTCAGAGATGTTCCATGAATATCAGGAAAATTGTAAGCACGTAAGAAAAATTCCGAAAATTTCTTGTAATAAAGGAACGGGAACTCCAGGCAAGTCTAGAGAAGCTGAGGAAATTTTAGATATTTTAAAGGAAGTATTATGAGTTTCATGGAAGTATGTAAATAAAACTTCAGGAAAACTGCAGGAGCTTCAGCATAGACCAAAGAATTTCACGGTTTTTCAATTAACTTTTGGAAAATATCGAGTGTTTTTAAAAAGCTCTGAGAAGTCCATGCAAGTCTTGAGAACTTTATTGAAGGATTTTTATTAAGGATTTTTTTTTTAACAATTTCATTGATTACAGGAATGCACCGAAAACTTCAAAAAAGTCTAGACTCACAGGCTATTTTGAAAATCGTCATTGAGTTTCGACTGTTCAGTCGAGAAAAAGTGCTGATAACAGTTTTAGCATCGTCGATGTTGCGATTCAGGGGATAAGATTTGACATTTTCATCAGGGCTAATTTTAGATTAAATTCGTTAAATTTTTTTGCACTGAACGAAAGACGGTATAACTTTATGTCCCCTGAGAAAGGGCAAATTTGAAGACCGAAACGCTTTAAATAAAACATCGCATCGTTTGGATTAGTATTTTTAAGTTTTATGCTGAGCATTTTGTAGTAAAATTTAACCCACAGCCTAGTTTTAGTCAGAGGGATCTAAATTGTGTGTATATTCCCAAATTACAATTATGGTCGCTCCATGAAGCATTTGAGATGGCCGGGTGCACATATGAAAAATTAGAGAGTAGTCAGCACTTAATTTACCATGACAGAACTGTAGGAGATGTGTGCCAGTTTTGGCACTAGTGCTCCCCTAATTGGACTAATAAGACCCAATCCCTCTTCAAAATAAGTATTTTTGAATATTATTCAACATAGATATACAAAACTGCATTGAGACTAGCTTCCTCTGGAACAAATTTGGATATGGTCAAATAAAGGACCACTAATGCCATAACTGTTACACTTCCACTATCTAAAATATTATCTAAAAATATTACTATTGCTCTAAACGGCGCCGGTGGTGTAGTGGTAAGCGTGATTACCTCTCACCCCAGCAGGCCTGGGTTCAATCCCAGTCGGCGCCGCCGGGATGTTCTGAGGCATAACATCTCTGATCACGCCTTCCTTCGGATGGGAAGTAAAGCCGTTGGTCCCCGGTTCATGAGTTGATGGGTCGATAGGTAGGGTCCAGGTGTGGGAGCTGCCTTCCTGGCACGTCGGTAGCATTGGTGCTCAGCACGGAAAACAAGATCGACGGAAAAAACAAACCAAAGGAAAAAAAATACTATTGCTCTTTCCAGAGCTTATCTGAGCAGCTCCATACCAATTGCCAAATCGATTTTATTTTTCTTCGACTTTGCAAAATTGTTCACTAGGGAACAAGAATTCGGTTGTTTTGACTCACGCCCAATGTTTCAGCCGAATGTGCTACATTTTTCAATAAATGGTAAAACGATAAAGATTCATCTATTCTGAATGACAGCTGAAACATAGTTGTAGGAAACCGGATTGCCTTTTCTAAAAAAAATTAACGCTAAAATAATATCACAATTTTTTGTCAAAATAAAAAAAAAAATAAAAATAAAGATTTGGTCAAACCCACAGTAACAAAAGAAGTAAAATTTTAAGAATTTTAACCTTACGTTCATTAGAAATGGACCCAATTAATACTTTAAAATTGACCAAAATCGGTGAAGATTGTGGAAAAACAACCACAAAATCGTCTCTTTTTTCACCGGTTTGGAATTTGGCACTGTATTAAAATTGAACGGATTTTAAAAATAATGTATTTTTGATCCTTCAAAATATTAAGACTATTCTTTTGTAATTCATGTTTTAAACATTTTTTTTTTGTGTGAAAATTTGTGATTCTTTTCAGAGTGTGTTTGTTTCTGAAAAGGCAATCTCATTGCCTACAGGTGTGTCTCAGACGTCATTTCGATTAGATAAGCCGTTTTCGTGCTATGATTTATTGAAAAATATCTAATTCGCCATTTTGAAAATGGCTGAATTCTGGAAGAAACTTTGTTCATTGTTACTAGCGAACAATTATGAGAATTTTTTTGGAATTCTGTGCGGTATTGGGATTGGAACTGCTAATTTGTATTATTCCTTATAATCTCAAAGCTCTCTCAAGTATGCCTCTAAACTTGTCTTAAGAAGAATTGTTACCTCAATACTTCTCACGAAAGACTAGACATCCAAGGAAAACGCCAGGATTAGCTTTTAAATAGTCGTATCTGCTTTTGTGAACAAACATTGAAGTGCCTATTTGCTTAAAATCTGATCACAATGATCGGAAGAAACTTTATCCTACATGATGGTGGTGTTTCTAAGCTTAGAGTTTTGAAAAATTATACTTTTAATCTTTGTTTGCAAAAGCTGATAAGTCTATTTGAAAATTCATCCTTGATCTATGCTTGTTCATAAAGTTACATGAAATTCCTTATATTGGTTTATTACCAGCCATCCTTTATTTAAAACAAAACAACATTTCTCAAGATTATTCGTCCAGGCTCCATATAGAAACTTTTTATACTCTATGCATTCAAAAACGTTCTTAAAATGTGTTGGCTTCCTATCGATTCTATTCCCATCACATTAAAATTTTCCATATGATTTCCAAAAACACGCTACGACCAATTACTCATTCCCATCCATCTTGCCGAAATTCTAAACATTCAACTCCCACTAGCCATGTACCCACTCGAAAATCACGAACAACCTGTTTGTAAAACACCTCCAAAAACATTACCATTTTCACACGACTGAACATCGTGCTAAATGTCACCCCGTGAAGCACACCCCTCCCACCGCTACCAACCCATTTGCCCATCTCTTTGAAACAGTCCATAGTTTCCCATTCACCCGGTTCTCGCGATCGCGTAAAAATTAAATGAATTAACAACGATGTTTGACATTTTCATAAACTTCACGCATAGATGAGAGCTAATTTTATTAAATTATTCATGAAAATGGCATGGCGCACCCACCCCTTCCGCGCCGTGGGGACACACGATGAGCGCGGCATGAGTAAAAAATCATGTTCAAATTCCATTCCCTCCCCCAAACCCCCCGGCATGTCACCAACTGTCCGTGGCGAAAGTGTTTGCCTTCCGGTTCCGCCGTTCCACAATGGTGCACTTCACACAGTTCGTGTGCCTAAACCGTGCCGTGGCGGAAAAGGGTTGCAAATTAAATTAAGTGACACGCAATCACTTTCCATTTTAGGCTTCCTGCTTTACCTCGCCCCCCAAAGCTTGTGCCGAGGAATACTTTGAGAAAATCCGGCCAAAAATTGTGAGCCTTGTTTTCACCGGAGCGTATCGGCTTCCCGGGTTCGACTGAGGACCCGACGAACTTCACGCTTTAATTCGACGTAGGGCGACGACAGGAACGAGCAGCCACTGACTGACTTCTTCTAGCGATGTTGCTTGAAGGTTGCCCCGAACAAAAGCGGATCTAAAACAAGAAAGCTCTTTCTTCCATCCAACAGGGAGGTACTTACCGGCATAGTTTGACTACCGTGAAGGGTTGTTATAGCAGCTTGAGCTTCTTGATGCGAGGTAAATTTCACAAAGGCGCAACCTGGAAATGAAGAGCAAAAGAAGCGGAACGTCTTTTTAGTTAGTTGGTTCTGTGGGGTAAAGGATTGTGATGCGGAAAAAATGAGACCCACGTCCCACGCTTAATGAACGGAATATGGGCATTTCAGCAGGAGGTGGAGGGGGGGGGGGGTGTAATTATGGTTACTACGGGCGCAGACACGGAACGCGGTGAGCAATCTCGGCGAAAATGCACAGAACGAATCCGATGAAAATGTTTACGTGAAAATAATGTTCGGGTGCGGTAGAGGTGGGTTCGTTGGGGTTAACGGCGTGGATTGCTTCCTGACGATGTCGATAATTAATTAGTGGAGTGAAAATAACAGTCGTTGAAGTGGCAGAATAAGAAAAAGGGGTTCAAAGGGCTGATGGGTATTATGGGAGTGATGTTGGGTTTGTTTGAATTTTTAAATTGGTGCTACAGCATGATCTACTTCTCATTATTATTGTTTTATCCTTCTTTATCTTCTATACTTAACTTAGTGTTATATGAGTACTTCCATAATTATTCCATAAGAAATATTCTAAACCTGTTCAACGATATTTTATGAACAGGAAAATCGAGGAATTGATGACGAGCTAAATGAGTACCAATTTAGCATTTTTGGTAAGGATATTTACTTCTGTAAACTCTAACAAGTGGTAAAAATCCTATATCGTTTTTCTGAGGGGCAACAATGCTCTTGGCGATATGTGAAAGTTATTGATTCCAAATCAGGTCAACATACCAAAATTTGAATAAGTTACAACCTAAAAAGTCGTTAGCCATTTGAAGCTAACTAAACTTGTGCTCACTTCTTTCTAGCCTTTCTCCATCAAATATGTGAGTGAGTTTACCATTTGACACATTCTACCAGTGTGTATCGGAATGTTCGATCGGCTGTTGACAAAAGCAGGCCACTCTCGATGTGTGCCACGCGATCGTCTGTTTTTTCGGCAGTAATTATTGTGTGGTCCTCCTCATTGTTCTTCATCAGCAGTTCTTTCGGTCGATGCATCGTCGACTTTGGAAAGCAACCGTTTCGTGATGAGTGTGTGAGTGTTGATCACGTTTTGCGTCCATTGCTGCAATGGAATCGTTCTGACCCCCGTTGGAGAATTTGCCACTGGAAGCGGCTCCCTTTCTGACGGAGATGGCTTTTTGGATAGCGGAAGATAAAATGTTTTTTTTGTGTTGTACCTTATTTGACTATAGATTTAAGATGTATTGTAGAATCCTCGGTTCTGGAAAGTTAACTCGTTTGAGCCTTATCAAATAAATTAATAAACAACAACCAGCATGTATCTAGAGGTTTCATTACCGAGTAGTTTCTATAAAACCGACAATTCGGTAATGAAATCGTGATACCGGTAAATTACCGGTTTTCAAAGTTTAAGCTGTCAAAATGTAAAAAAAAGTGCCAGTATAAGATGAGTTCGATGCAGCCTAAATTGATCGAATTGATAAAACAAGTATTTTTTTCTTGAATCAATAGTAGATTCAATTGTTATTCAATATCTAAGCTGGTGTATTCATCAGAACACATATGGCAGGGCACACAAATAAGGGTTGATTGCCAATAATGAGATGGAGCGCATAGTTATAGATTACTTCAACTATTTTGGAAATGATGGTGTTAATGTTATTTCTAATAATTAAAATTCTCTCTCAACAGTACCGCTCACAAGTATATCATGATTTTTTTACTCTCCAAGAAAATCAATAAACTATTACTTTTAAGAACAAGAATCACATTTTATGAAGTTTCGGCTAATAATACATCAACTAATTAAATTTATTCGTATGGTTTTAAGGATTGATTGAGTCTGTAAAAATAAATTTTACCCAAACGGTTGCCATTTGACAGCTCTTTTTCAAACTGTTATTGCTTGAAGTATAATAAACCCAATTAACTGGAAGCTTGCATATTTGTAGTATCACAGACAAACAGGCGTAACTCTTCATTCTGGATCATCGGTCACGTATTTAACGATTGATTTGTATATTATCATTTCCCCGAACTGCTCACCGCAGCACTGGCATCGGACCACTGTGACATTTCTATATATTCTGTTTACATTATATGCAACCTTGTTCGCGATTTAGCGAGCGGCTATGATAAGATTCTGTACTTCTTCCACATGAAAAAAGTATCAAATGGCTCTTTTCTTGCAAGCGACGATCAAGTTATTCCTTTATCATTATAATATCCGTGTGGTGTAGTGGTAAGCGTGATTACCTCTCACCCCAGCAGGCCTGTGTTTAATCCCAGTCGGCGCCACCGGGATGTTCTGAGGCATCAGAAATTATTCAAAGACTATCGAAAGAAGATTCATCACATCTAGGTAAGAAATGTAATGATAATGAAAAGAACGGATACTAAGCCCCGCCCGTAACGTGAGTAGATCACCTTTTCGTGGTACGTTACGAGATGTAAGATCTACCACCGATTCCTAGGCCTAACTACTTCAAACTAAGGGAACATGATTTTTCAGTAATCAAAGGAACATATCTTAGTCCTTGTTGATAGTGACAAGACTCGGCTTTGTCTACAGAGGATGATCGAATAAGGAAAAAATGAGTTAGTTAGTCTTCATCTATGTAATTTCTAATCTTCTATTGGTTGTTCCCTAGTTTGAAGTGGTTAAGATTAGGGTTCTGATGCATGGTCATTATCGGTGTCAATCCCTAATTTTATTGCTAAGGAATTTAATTTTGACTAACCAAGTATAAAGAGCGGGATCTTTCAATTAGAGTCTGTAAAAAAATCGAATACTTCATCATTTCTCAAAAGTGAGAGCTCTTGGAAAATGTGATCCGTGATACTGTCACCTACTCTGAACACGCCAAGCATAAGCGGCCATGGATGTCGTCGACGCTTTGAAGCGACAGACGCACTCTGTACGGTTTCGGAGGTTAAATCATGACCAGCTTTGGCAACAAAACGGCTCTTTTCAGGGCCAACGAGCTTATTACAGTAAAGAGTTGGAATATAATTTATCTGTGCCTGTTTATCCATTTTCAGAACCACATGCCCCCAACGACCACACAAAATGCTCTCCAGAGTGGTAATCAGAGATTGAAATTTTCTCTCAGCTGGAAGATAAGCTACGCATCAGTCAAGCTGCTTTTCGCAGAGCTGAACATTGACAACATTTTCATCTCTCATGCTTCAACGATTATTCATTATCCTCTCCCATCCAAACCGTGAAAATATTGCTGTTTCAAAATCGCTGAGAACACTTTTTCATCTCCCATTGGACACCGAAAATATTCGCTCGTTTGTTTATTTAACCACCATCTTTGACATTTTAGCCATACAGACTGTTTAAAGTGACTTAATCCTATTCTTAAAAATTGGTCTTATATTAAAAATCAAAAACATCACACACATCATTAAACAGTCTGCAACATAAATCGAGAGGGTTGTTATAACCGTAAGCAGTACGATGTCCGGGAGTCCACAGTTGTAGAGACGGCGAGCTGGAGTGTGAAAATTTATGTTCCCGAGCAAACAACTGCAGTCAATATGATTACTAATCATGTCAAATATGAACATCCTCTGGAGAAAGACTCGGCGATTTGTTAGTGTTTGCAGTCCAATAAGCGCACATCTATGCTCGTACGGAGGTAAGCTATCTGGATTTGTCCATGGCAGACGTCGTAATGCAAACTTTATAAACTGTTTCTGGATTCTCTCGATGCGCAGTACATGAACAGCATGATATGGAGCCCACATTTGTACTCCATATTCAAGAACACTGCGGACCATAGAGCAGTACAGCGCTTTCAGGGCGTACACGTCGTCGAATTGTGCAGTATTACGGCGCAAAAATCCTAGCATAGAGTTGGCTGTCATGGATATGTGCTCGTTAAACCGTAGTTTGCTGTCCAAGATGAGCCCAAGATCCTTAATGGCATTATGGTGTTACTGGAGACCGAGCAATTCGATTACAGAAACCGCTTCTTATATGTGGTGGGTGGTACCGTCCACCTACCGTTGTTTCTCTGCTGTCCATCGAACAACAATGATTACCCGAAATTGGTGCAATTCGATCAAGTTTGTGCCAGAAAATGATGCCCCAATGTTAATTAGCACCGAAAAACTGCTTACATCCTACGAATAACCATTAGTTTGCGAACAACAGGACAAGTGTAAACACCCCAATAATATGTGCTGGTTTATTAGCTGAACCAGTTCAACCAGCTCACCAAAATTTCAGTTGCTCCTTAAATCTCATGCTGGTAGATGCTGACGCTCTGTTTACATTTTGCTGACTAGTTACTTTTTAGTATAGTTTTAGTACACTAGCATCAGCACACCAGCACAAGTGTAAACACCCCATATTCATTAGCACAGATGAGTCAGTTTCGGGCACTCCTGAATTTGCAAGCTGACTGATATTTTGGGTTTTCAGCATGCTCAGCTTGCTCTCATTGTGTCAACACTACTTCATACTGGTTTTTGTTTTCGTAATGGGGTGTTTACATCTGTGCTGGTGTGCTGATGCTAGTGAACTAAAACTGTACTAAAAAGTAGTCAGCATAATGTAAACAGGGTGTCAGCATCTACCAGCATGAGAGTTCAGGCTGGCTGAGCTAGTTAAACAGCATATATGTATGTAAACACGCCAATAAGCAGAACAATAATCAGCGATAGTGTAAGCTGGGCATTACCGTTCTTTCATGCGCAGATTGGATTGCTTATGATTACATCTGTGCTGGTTTGCTAGCGCTAATGTACTAGAACTGTACTAAAAAGAAGTCAGAATAATTCAAACAGGGCGTTAGCATCTACCAGCATGAGATTTCAGGAGCAACTGAATTTCGTTTGAGCTGGTCGAGCTAGTGAACTTAGCATAAGTTTAAACACTTCATATGAGATTTTTCAGTGTATAAGAGTTACAGAGTCGTTACAGAGGCGATTTCGCTTTGGACTGTTTTGGTCAAATAGGGTTATGTATGCTAAATGATTCACATAAAAACTATGCGCTAACATGAAA